GTCAGATTTCACTTATGTTTCTTTTCCCCAAATATAGTGAATTTGTTCAATCTTTCTCTTTTTCTTTCTCCTTTTTCACTTGGAATGGCTAACGACCCCATACATGCCTCCACCACGAATTCCGTTGTAGCCATTAAGGGCCAGACAACTATTGTTGCTTTAGTTACGAAGCCTCCATCTTGCTTTCCTTAATTTCCTTGCTTTTTCCCCTTTAATATTAATATTAAAATTGAAACCCAAACTCAAAAAGTTAATTGGTGCAGACTGCTGCTCCATGATATGGCCGTCTATGTTTTATAGGTTTTCAACAGGAAAATAAGAATATTAGATGAATTTTTTGATCTAGGAAGCTGGTACTCCCATCTTAAATTTTTGAAGCAATGTCACAGATTCTGTTTGCTATCAAGAAATCAATGATTAAAAGTTTGTTTCATCGCTTCATATATATTTTGTTGTTTGGTTCACTGTGATTTTGTTATGTTTGATCAAGAAAAGTTAATGAAACTGAAAAACAGAGGACGAGAGAAGCTGAGAAGGTGAAACTAGTAGTGTTAGCAGGCCAAATGTCCAAATTAGGCCTAAACCTTTCACAAGTTGCTCAAATTGGGTCTAAACCTTTAATGTGAACCAAATTGAGCCTAAACGTTTTTGAGATGCAACAAATTGGGTCTAAATTTGACGGGGCTATGATAGTGACACGCACGCGCCATTACCGTTATGAACGGCGTGTGTGGCACTGACACGTGGAAAATAAATTATTTAATTATTTAATTATATTAATTTTCATTAAATTTTAGAAAAAAATGTCAGGAGAGAAAAATTTTTATTAGGCTTTGTTTTTTTTGGTAAGATCAAAATAAATAAAAAAAATTGAAGATTAAGAAAATCTTTATTATCTTCTCTCTACCAACAAACACAATTTTTCTAGAATTTATTCTCCGAAATAGATCAAAAGCCCTTTTTCACAAAGAACATGATGAACACCATGAACTTAAACAGATAAACCCAACCACCACCATAAAACAAACAAAACAAAAATAATAAGGACTAATGTCCAACTTGGGCCTAAATCTTTCCAAACTTGCTCAAAGCCCAACCACCATCCATTTGGGTTTCTTCCTCTCAAAGATCTCATCATTTTCTTATAGACAAGAATTAGGCTAGACTCAGAATTACGGAATCCAACAGCAAAATCAAGTGAGAAATTGAGGGTTCGAAATGAGGAGAAAATGGAACCAGAAATTGCCGTAAGCAAATTCTTCAGCACCCTGTTGAAACCAGACCAACGATGGCCCTTACGCGGCACCTGCGGCACTGGCACCGCTTGATGCGGTGGAGGAGCTTGGAAATGCAAGCGCAACGTCTTCTTAGCAACGCTTGGTTCCGACAGACTCCTACCCAATATGGCTTAGTTCAGCTACACCTCGAAGGTGAGCCTCTCAAACTGGTCCAGTGATGTGCTCTGCTCATCCCCAAACTTAGACCTGGCAATTTTCTGACACGACACGTTTGTACGACACAGAACGATAGGGGTTTTACTGTGTTTTTGTTTGGGCTTAACGTGTTTCGTGTTTAGTCGTGTCAACACGATTAAGGAAAAACGTGTTTCGTGTCATAACCGTATAAAACACGGCTAACACGATGTGTTACACGGATAACACGTTTAGTTAGTTGTGTTATCCTTGTCAACACGTTAACTGGTAAAACGATAACACGTTTAGTAAACGTTTATAACGTTATATGTTTGTCTAAAGTAAAATACCACTTTGACATTGTGTAATTTTATAAATGTTATAGTGAGATTTTTGGTAATTTTAACATGTTTAAATTATTCGTGTTAAAACGTTTAACTCGTGTCAGTCGTGTTTTTGGTTACACATTTAAAAAATCGTGTTTAGTCGTGTCGTGTCGTGTACACGATTAATAAACAGTTCTCGTAAACGTTTTTAAGACCATGACACGATTAGTTATTCGTGTCGTGTTCGTGTTTGGCCATATACTCCTAAATTATACACGTTTATACGACACGAAACACGACACGAAACACGAATTGCCAGGTCTACCCAAACTTCCTCAAATTCGATTGAAGTTTAACCAAACTGAAAGCAATTTTACCCTCATATTTCTCATATTTATGTTTTCAGGCCCATTTGGAGCTATTATTTAAGAAGATAAATATTTAGAACAATTTTTGATCAATTTAGAGAAACTACCGATTTCGGCCCATTTTGCCCCAGTGGGCCCATCAGGCCTATTTTTGCCCATCAAGCCCGAAAGGAAGCCCGAATCTTTGGTAATCAAATTCTGATTTCTCTAGGCCCACTTCGGATGTCTTAAAGCCCAAAGAGGAGTTACAAGTCCAATCATAATTTATGATGCAGTAAATAATTGATGATGGAGAAATTCCAAATCCTAGTCAACGGAGGATTCACAAGTGCAGTTTCGGTATAAAATTCATATCTTTTGATCTAGAGCTCAGAAAAATGCAAATGCGATACCTTAGAAAGAGGACTCCAAGCTCTAAAAATTTTATGTTTTACTCGAGAGCCAATTCTGCCGTTAAAATGGTCGAAAATGCCCCTGAAGTATTCTTGACAGATTTGACTACAAATCCAAACCGACTTAGGAAAGCTTGTGCCGACCTTGGGGAGCCTTGGACGGTTTTGGCAGCTGTTTATGATGATGTGGAGCACTCCAACTGGCCAAGGAAGGATCCTAATTTATGAGGATGATCTACTTCAACCAATTAGAGCCTTTGCTTGGAGACAAAGTTGATGTAAATCCTAGTTAGAGTAGGATTAGGAAATTAGATGTCTGTCTTACCTTTTGTGCAGCCACATCCAAGGGCTGATATAGTTTATCATAAGCGTAGGATGTGTCCTAGGTTTACCTATAAATAGGTAGGATTTGTTATAACTGATTAGAAGACAGAATTGCAGAACCCTAGGGAGGACTTGATCGAGCCAAAAACAACCCTATTTTTATGGCTATTTTATTATGTTTTTGGATCTATTTATGCTCTAAATTATCTTATTTTGTTAATATTTGTGTTTTGAGTCTTTATGAGATGTGAATTTGGAAATTTGTTCATTTTCACTACTTTTGGAGCTATTTTTGATGACTTTTTACACAAATATGAGCAAAATAATTTTGAGTATAGATTTGAAGATTTGAAGTTTGTGTTTGAAGACTTATTGAAGACAATTTCAAGATTTGGAGATCAATGAATAATTATTTCAAGAAGCAAGAATTGATGATTGGAGATTTAATTGCTAGGGATTGAAGATAAGCCCTGAAAAGCCCGGAACCCTTGGAATTTTTGGATATTTTATATGGGATAATACTCAGCCCATATAAGCCCACAATTGTGCCTAATATATCCAATAAAATATCCAATTCCCGCATATTCCCGATACTAGTCCTAGTTGGATTAGGATTCAACGCAGTCTTGGTAAAAAAGCCATAACTTTCTGCTCAGACGTCCAGTTTAGTCCCATGAGTAGCTGTTGGAAAGCTAACTCCGAGTTCTACAACTTTCCTTTGAAGCTCAAAACTCAGTTCTGCCGTTTTCAAACCCGAAATTGCTGTTGAAGTTGCTGTGTGATTCCAGAAAATTCTAAGATCCGATTTTAACCCCTAATTTCGGTTGGGAAGACTTTTAATCTAACTTGGAGACCAAGTTAGAGGTTGAAACTGACCTAGAGTCCTATCCTAAGTCTAATAGGATTCTTTAGGTTATTTTCCACTATAAATAGCCACATTAGGTCTAGGTTTTTATGTATCCTATTCCCATAAGAAAAATATTATAGAGTTGCTTGAAGATTTGGAGGAGATAGCCCTCGGAGCCGCCGCCCCCCTCTTCTTATTCATCCATAGATAAGTTTTTCTTCTTATTTGTGGATGCTCACTCAATTCATGAGTGAGTAATCCTTTTCTTTTCTCCAATGTAGAATTTAATTGATCTCTTGACTTATATCATGGTGAGATTTTGTGCTTAAATATGAGAATTGTTTGGGTATTTCTTAAATCTTTGTTTTAATCCTATGTTGCTTCTTTTGATGGATTGGATTCGACACTATCTTGATAAATTAGGTTAACATTAGCTAAATTAAGTCTAGAACTAGCCCTTAAGATTTAATTATAAGTAGCAATTGGAGGAGAACTAGCCCTTCCTTCCAAGAGACATAAGAATCAACGGATGAGTAATTGCTTGTTGTGCTTGGTTATAAATTACTAGTTCTTAATGCTTTGTTCTTAAGTAATCTTTAACCCCTAGCCAGGAAATTGATTGCTAAAGAATAAAAGGGATATTTTAAGCCCTAGCCAGGAAATCTTATCTAATTAAGGTAATTTAGGATTTAATTCCAAACAAGCTATCCAACGTTTTCATAATTTTTAGATATCAATGATCCATGTTAATTGTGTCAAGTAGGATATTAATTCTATGTTGGAGGGTTTTATTTAATTGTTTTCTCACTGCTTACTAATTAATTGTTCTCTTTAATTTTCTTGATTGTTTTCTTAGTTAATTTTACTTGTTTGTTTGATTTAGTTCAATTTTCATAATTCTCTTTATTTTATTTTGATTTTAAGAAAAAGATTAATAATCTATCTCTCTGTGGGACAGACTCCTACTTGCCCTAGCTATTTTAGTTAGTAATTGTTGGGATTATTTTTATGATTGCTGACGACCGATCATAAATTTTGGCGTCGTTGCCGGGGAGATTGTGTTTTATTTTCTTGTTCTTTTTTTTCTATTAGATTTGCACTTGATCAACTTTGTTTTGTAGAAAAATCCAATGGAGTAGTCATGTACGTTAAGGGAGCTGAATTTCAACTGTGAATTGCCGTCCCTCTGCATTGATTATCCAGCTATGGATATGTCTTACAAATTGCAGTCAGCAGTAATCCGCATGTTGCTGATTTTTTAAAGAGAATCTCATGAAAATCCTCATGAGCACCTACAAGAATTCTTCATCAAGTGTTCTGCAATTACTGGAATGTCTGAAGAGCAAGCGAAGCTTAGAATGTTTCCTTTAACATTGGAAGCAGAAGCAAATGCCTGGTTCATAAGTCTACCACCAAGATCCATAACTTCTTGGAAAGGATTGGAGACAGTATTTTTGAACAAGTATTTTCCAGAAGCAAAACGTGCAGATGTCAGAAAGAAAATCACTACTTGTCAACAACTATTCGACGAGAAGTGGCATTAGTACTAGGAGAGATACAACAAGATCTGCGCAAGTTGCCCTTACCACAACTTGAGTGAAGCGCTTTTGATTCAGAATTTCTATGATGGACTCCTCTATGAAGATCAGACATATATTGATTCTGCAAGTGGAGGCAGTTTTACATCTAAAACACCGGAAGAAGCAAGGAAGCTGCTCAACACTATGACAGAAAACATCCATCAATTCAGTACAACAAGGATAAGTTCATCAACAAATGAGCCTGAACCAAAATTTCTTCAAGGGATTAATGATCGTTTTTACAAGGTCAACTCGGCCATTACCTATTTGACCAATTTAGTTCAACAACTAGTTTTGAATCAAATGGTGAATCAAACTCAAATCCAACAATCACACTTGTATTCAAACCTAGGTTGTACTAACACACAAGGATGTAGAGTCAATGCAATTGAAGAAGCTCAACATTGGTATGTACAAAAGATGGAATTGCCTGATGTTCCATCCCCACCTACGATATCATCAGCATCTGTTTTCCCTGTTACCCCACCACCAGTTGCTGTATCCAAAGAACCAGTGCAAGGAGATGAGGAGATTTCAACCAAGAGCAAGGAAGATCTACCTTATGCATCACCAAAAGCCGATCAACTTCAATTAGAAGCTGAATGGATGGAAGAGATGTAAGCCAAATATGATCCACCACCATTTCCTCAAAGGTTTGCAAATCAACTCAATTCGCTTCGAAAATTAGAGGTAAACATACCTTTGGTTGCTCAAATAGTAAAGGTACCCAGGTACGCTTCTTTTCTTAAAGAATTATGCATTACTAAGAGTAAGTTTTCTGAAAAATTTGCTTGCATGAATGAGAATGTATCTGTTGCATATCAAAGGAAATTGCACCATAAAAGCAATGACTTAGGATCTTTTTCTATCTTTTTCTATACATGGTAAGATAGGAAAGAATAAGATAGAAAATGCCATGTGTGAATTCGGATCTCCAATTAATATCATGCCTTATTCTGTCTATAAGCAATTGAACATAGAACCTCTGCTTGAAACTAATGTTACTATTCAATTTGTTGATAGAACAAACATTAAACCTGAAGGTTTAGTTGAGGATGTTTTAGTGCAGATTGGAGATTTCGTTTTTCCTGCAGATTTCTATGTCTTGAAGATGAGTGAAGATGACCTTCATCTAACTCATATGTCGTTGCTGCTAGGAAGACCTATTTTGACAACAGCTATGATGAAATTTGAAGCACAAGATGGAATACTCAGTATGGAATTTGACGGGAAACCCATTAAATTCAATATTTATGAAGCCATGAAAGCTCCTGCTGAGATCCATTCCATCTATGCTATCGATGCAATTGATGCCTGCTCTAAGCAAGTACAATCACTTCACCAAGTGGATGAACTTGAAGTGGTACTCACTAAGGGTTTGTTCAAAGAAGACATCGAAGAAGAAAAAATCCCAATGCCAAAAGATGTAGCAGAAACTGTCAAGGAATTGGCGTCAGATGAAGAAAAAGAATCAGTCTCTTATATCAGCCTAGAGCCAACTCCTAAAGCTTTACCACCCATTATTCAGCCACCTGAAGTTAAGCTGAAACCAAAGAGACACTGCCTGTTGTTATTTCAAGTAAATTGAATAATTTAAAGGAAGAGCAATTAATCAAAGTTCTAAAAGAATACAAGGAAGCCATTGGATGGACTGTAGCTGATATCAAAGGAATAAGTCCTACTGTTTGTATGCATAGGATTCGACTAGAAGACGATGCAGTAGCAGTTCGACAGCCACAAAGAAGACTAAATCTAAATCTTGCTGAAGTTGTCAAAGAAGAAGTTCTCAAATTACTTGGAGCTTGTCTCATTTATGCTATATCAGATAGTAAATGGGTCAGTCATGTTCAAGTAGTTCCAAAGAAGTCTGGATTCACTGTCGTAGAAAACAAGGAAGGAGAGCTAGTTCCTCAAAGACTACAGAATGGATGGAGAGTATGCATCGACTACAGAAAGTTGAATTCTGCCACGAGGAAGGATCACTTTCCATTGCCATTCATTGACCAAATGCTGGAGAGTTAGCTTGTAAAGCCTATTATTGTTTTCTGGACGGATATTCAGGATACTTCCAGATTCCAATTGCACCTGAAGATCAAAAAAAGACCACCTTTACATGCCCTTTTGGTACGTATGCTTACACAAGAAAACATTTTGGTTTGTACAATGAACCTGCAAGTTTTCAAAGGTGTATGATGAGCATCTTTCAAGATTATGTGGGAGACAAGATGAAAGTCTTCATGGACGATTTCACAGTCTATGGAGATAGCTTCAATCAATGCCTTCATAATCTAGAACTCATCTTAAAAAGGTGTGTTGAAACCAAATTGGTGTTAAATGCCGAGAAGTGCCACTTCATGGTAGAACAAGGCATTGTTCTAGGCCATGTGGTATCCAAAGAAGGGATGCAAGTCGACAAAGCTAAAGTTGATGTTGTTCAGAATCTGCCTTATCCCACGTATGTCAAAGATATCCATTCATTCTTAGGCTATGCTGGATTTTACAGAAGATTTATCAAGGATATTTCAAAGATCTCAGCACCCATGTGTAGATTACTTCAGAAAGATGTAGAGTTTGAGTTAGGAGATGATTGCAAAGAAGCATTTGACAAATTGAAGACTACCCTCACCACCACTCAAATTGTGAAGCCACCGGATTGGAGACTACCGTTCGAAATCATGAGTGATGCAAGTGACATTGCTATTGGAGCTGTTCTAGGACAAAGAGTAGGTAAGGTACCCCATGTTATCTATTATGCTTTAAGAACTCTAGATGCTGCTCAAAAGAACTACACCACCACAGAGAAAGAGATGCTTGCAGTTGTCTTTGCCTTGGAGAAGTTTCGATCGTATATCCTAGGATCTAAGGTGATAACACTACAAAAAACCGCTAAGATAGGGGCGTTTATTTAGCGGCGTTTACTCAAACGCCGCTATTCTATTCACTAAAATTGAAGATAGCGGCGTCTGAAACTCAAGACGCCGCTAAATGGAGGCGTCCTAACCTCAAAACGCCGTCATCTTTAATTTTTCTCCGAGGGAGGCAAATTGGTAAAAGAAGAAGGCTAAATAGCGGCGTATGAGGTCCTAAACGCCGCCATCTTAAAAAAGAAGGCTAAAAGATAGCGGCGTCTGGGTTCAAGACGCCGCTAAATAGTGGCGTCTGGGTCCAAGACGCTGCTAAATAGTGGCGTCTAGGTCCAAGACGCCGCTAAATAGTGGCGTCTGAGGTCCTACACGCCGCCATCTTTATTTTTTTATCCGAGGAAGGCAAATTGGGTAAAAATAAAAGCTAAAAGATAGCGGCGTCTTGAGGTTCAGACGCCTCCATTTAGCGGCGTTCTTGAACCCAGACGCCGCTAAATAGTGGCGTCTAAGGTCCTAAACGCCGCTATATATAATCTTTTTAAAAGAATAGAAATTTCGTCAAAATAAAGACTATTAATAATTTAGGATAATTATAAATATATTCTCTTATTATTATTTTCTTATTATAGGATAAAATACAAAATTTATATTTATTTATGACGTTTAAAAAAGTGTAAAAAAAAAAACATGAAAATGGTAATGGTAGCACTCGAACTCGTGAAAACCATATCTAATCTATCTACTCCCACCAAACCTTCTAACATTAATCTTGTGATAACAAATGTTAAGATAATATTATTATAGCTTAAGGCCAGAGACTACATTGAAATAACAATGTATTTGAGAATTAAAATTGATTAATACATAGACTAGTACAGGTAAGGAGTGGATCGAAAATTCCAAATCTCCTTAAAACAGGAAAAAAATCAGAAATTAAGTATGAAAACGGCCTTTTTTTGACGAAAACTTGGGCCAGGGCGCCTACGGGCAACCGAAAAGTTAGGTGGTTTAAAAAAAAAACACCCCAATCGGGCAACCGAGCGCAAAGTTATAGCCTTTCAAAGTTTTGAAATCATTTTAGCCTTATGAATAAAATTTTTTTTTAGGTAAAACGTCATCGTTCTTTGGGAAATAAATGGAGAAGATATTTCTTTAACTTTACCGGCGTCTATACTTATAAACGCCGTAATTTGGCCTTGTATAAAATCGCGACTCCTCTTTTATTTTCTGAAGTCTGAACTCTGAAATGTAAAAGGCTAAGTCTCAAAGCTCTCAACCCGTTTGAAACCCTGACCTAGCCGAAATTCTCAAAACTAATTAACCTGTTTTATTCTTCTTCCCAAATTTCATCTTCTTCGAATTTTCCTAGCCCTAAAAATTTCCACTTACCATTTCCTGTCGAAATCCCTAACTCCACTTCCTCAACAATTTTCCAAAGTCCTTTTCTTTTTCATCGATGCCCAAACCCTAACCCTCTCAAATTCTTCTTCCCATATCAGATCCTTACTCTATTCGTTTTTTACAGGTTCAAATCCATAGTCAGAACTCGCTTTCCTTTTCAAATCTCTCAACTTTATATGATTTCTTTCGGAATTTTTTTCTTTTGTTTTAGGTTCCAATATCGAGCTTGATTTTACTTGTGAATCTGAATTTAACTTGAATATTCAGGAGGTTTTCGGTGGTGGAGAAGCGGTGGCGAGCTGCTTGCCAAACTAAAAGTGAGAGCACCGTCAACAATCCTGTCAAGTACGGTGTATACTCATCGCTTCCTTCTGATTCAGAGTTAGCTGCCGCGTTCTTTATGAGAAAGAGAAGGTCAGATACTCCTCTATCTCTATCTCTATTCTTTTTTTTTCTTTTTCTTTTATCAAAGCCTAAATTGGATGATTCATCTTTTATATGATTGTCAAGTTACTTTGATTTTCAGGCATATTCTACTGTTGGCACTCCTGACTATATTGCTCCAGAAGTTCTCTTGAAGAGAGGTTATGGAATGGAATGTGATTGGTGAGTAGTTATGCATGTTGAAATGAATTTCCCCTTTTGTTTCACTCATAATCTTCTTTTGGTTTGTTTGACATAGCGATTAAACTTATATTTATTTACCTGAGAATCTGAATTGATTATTTGTAGTTTCAGGTTTTAGGATCTTTAAATTTTTAATTATTTATATGGAATAGTGACTTCATTATGAAAGATTAGTTTGCAATAAAACCTGGTGAATCGAAGTGATGTTGTCTAGAATGCCATAATTGCTTGCATAGTATTATAGACTGTTGTGACTGACGAAAATCATTTTCCATAGGTGGTCACTTGGTGCAATTATGTATGAAATGCTTGTGGGATATCCACCATTTTATTCAGATGATCCAATGTCAACTTGTCGAAAGGTAAGTTTAGAAATATAGCCAATTGATGCTATGTGTTGCTTCCATAGTTATTTTCTACTTTAGTCCAAACCCTGCCCATGTTATCCTCCTGTTACTTTCATCTGAAGAACAGTTAGCTGTCCTGATTATGCTGAGGCTAGGATGTAAAAAGGAATTGCCATGGTCAACAATACATCCTTTTTGCTTTCTTTTTTGGTTTTTTTTATTCTGGAATCTTTACAAAAATTCCTCCACCATTTTCCTGTTATATGGCAGCTTCAAGTATAATCCTTTTT